GGGCAGGCCGTATCTAAGGAAGAAATGGGGGATCTTCTAATACCGCGCTTTTGATGCTGTATCCTGTCTACGGAGCACAAAAATCGACACATCAAGACCACCCCTCAAGAGTGAGGGAGGCAGCGAATTCTCACTCAAAGCCAGAAAGGACTGCATAATCTGGTTCGCTGCGGTTGGTGGGCGTGTCCGCGCGGCTGCTTTTGGCACGCTGCCAAATCCGTTCTCCACTAGTTCTTTGAGCGGATAAGTGACAAGTAGTGGAAAACTACTGAAACGAACAATATTATACAGTTCTGTCGCTCGCCGAAAGAAAAAAAAACGGATTGGCGCCGCGCCAAACGCAGCCCCGCTAAAACGTCCCATCATCCGCAGCGAACCGGGCTGTATAACCGTCGGCTTCTTTCTCCACATCCAGTCGCAGGGATGCAGCTAAAGCTCTGCGGCGCATCACTGATCGCGTTCTAACCGTAACGGCTAAGAATGTCTATAATGGTGTAAAAAGAAAGTACCGTAGTCCATAGATCGGCGATCCTGCCTGGTTGGCACTTTTCTACATGGCACTTCCAATGCAGCCAAAGTGTCGTCGCTCGAACCTGTCAAAGCTACAGCATTTAGGTCCATAGAAATTGGAGCCTCTAGGGGTCAACCGCGTGGAAAAAAAACTCATTTCGAAGGAACCTACCAGTGACTGTAGTGCTAAAAGACATGTCAACACAGCTATACTGTGTGCGGTCGGATTGGCTGCCGCTAGGTCGAGAAGATTCTTCAAGAAACCATGTTTGGAGCAGATATCACCAACGTGGAAGAAGTGTACTTACCAGGTTGCTCACAAGTTGTTTGGCACAGAGACATATCTACCGGGGAAGGAACATCTAAAAACAAGTAAGCTGACTGCAAAATAATGGGAAGGGGAAGATTCAGGCCAAGCCATCAGACAAAAGATGCCATATTAGAAGAGGATTACCTTGTCGAACAGTCGTATCACAGATTGACATATCTGCTGCTGTGTACTTCGTCACATCATCAAAATCCAAACGGGGAATTCTCGGAGGACCCTCTGTAAGCACGTACGTATAGCCGGAAAAGTCCTGGTCCTATTAAACTTCATATCCCGAGGATGGAGAGAGGCGTGTTG